ATCCCCTTCATCCTCCCAGGAGGGCCCTGAGGGAGGCAGGGAGGAGGCCCAGGCTCAGAGCGATTAAGAAGCTCACAGCCCTTGGGGGCAGGGCTGCTCCTGGGGGAGCAGAGAGGCCTCCACAGAGAGGTGGGCGGGTCCCCCCAGGGACTGGCAGGGACTGACACCAACATCACCACTAGTAAGCGTCGTATTAAGGCGTTCAGGCTTTGTCCAACAGCCCTGCCACCCCCTTTTCTTATTCTGCCTCACCAACCTTCCAAGCAGCACTGACGCCCTGGGTGCCTCCGTGCTGCCCGTGCGGCAGGTGCGAAGCCCCAGGCCCCAGAGCAGGGGCAGGGCCTGGTTGTGAGCAGCCTGTGTTTGGCCGTGAATCTGGCACTGTCTCCTCGGTCCGAAGCTCTGGCCTCTGGGTTGCCCCCTTGGCTTCCTGCCCTGCCTGCCGGCTAGTCAGCAGGATTCAGAGCTGCCTTGGACCCAAGCTGGGGTCCCGGAGCTCTCCCTGGTCAGGGGTGCCGTGAGGGTAGAGGGTAGTGTGCAGGACCTTGTTTGGCCTGGAGCCTGGCACATAGTAGGTGCTCAGCAAATTACTCCCCAGCCACATGCAGCTACAACCCTGGTGAGGCTCTAGCAGGCCACACAGAGGACACTTGGTCCTCCTCTGCAGCCTCCATTCCCAGAGCCCGGGGGCGGGGTGTGGGGGTGGTGATGATAGTGAGGGAACCTGTCCCTCAGGTTTGTCCTGAGGTTTCAACAACCTGATAGAAAGTGGCCACTGAGGGCCAAGGCCCGGCCTTAGGCGGCCTGTTGCTACCCACCCCTCCCCCCATCCTCCACTGGCCTCCCTGCTGCTCCCACCTCAGGGCCTTTGCACCTGCTGCTCCCTCAGTATGCAACGCTTCTTCCAATCACCACCATCCATCTCCAGAACTTTGTCATCTTTCCACACTGAGACTCTGTCCCCGTGAAACACTCACTCCCATTCCCCCTCCCCCAGCCCCCGGCACCCCCCATCCTACGTCCTGTCTCTATGGCCTTGACTGCCTTAGGGACCTCGGATGAGTAGGATCACACAGTGTTTGTCTTTTTGTGTCTGGCTTATTTCACGGAGCGTGATGTCCTCAAGGCTCATCTGTGCTGCTGCCTGTGACAGAATTTCCTTTCTTTTGAAGGTGGAGAATGTTCCACTGTAGTACGTGCCATGTAGTGTTTATCCATCATCCATCCATGGACATTCGTGTCGTCTCTTCCTTTTGCGATCGTGAATCATGCTGCTATGGACATGGGTGTACAAGTATCTGCTTGAGTCTCTGCTTTCAGTCTTTGGGGTGCAACCCCAGGGACCTCATAGCCTCTGAACTACTCATCTGTGAGCTGTCAGCCCTGGTCACTAGAATGCAAGCCAGGGCAGGGACAGCTTCTATTGAGTTCCATCTCGAGTCTGTTTAGTTCACTGCCGTGTCCCTAATGCCTGGAAGGTGCCAGCTGGATGCATGCTGGTGGGGGTGGGGTGGGGTTAATGGAAGCCACCGTGAGCGACACAGCAGGGAGACGAGGGTCCCGCCAGCCCCCTTCAGGTTCATGAGCTCGCCTCTAATCCCCTCTCTCACCACCGTTCTCATTCCCGTGCCCACCGGCCTCAGCCCGCTGGTTATTTCCACCACCTGAGCCATCCGTCCTCCTTTGATTACGTCTCATTTTGCCGTGAAAAGAAAGGGAGATGACAGCTGACTGGTGGGGGAAGGTCATTCATCCCGGAAAGGAAATTGGATGGCGGAGTTTCCATCATCCGCGGCCCGGCCCCTGCTCCCGGCAGACCTGCTTCCCTGCCCGTGCCCGTCCGGCCCTGCCGTGGGCAGCAAAGCCAGTGTCTGCACCGCAGGCAAAACAGCCCACACCCGGCTTCTCCTGGCTCTCGTTCGACAGGCAGCGCTCGACTAATCGATGCAAGCCAAACGATGACCAGTTGTGGCCAGCAGCCCTTGAACGTGCTCGCCGTCCTCTCGTTGCTGATTTCCGCAGGTAGAGCCTCTGTGATGCTTGGCGGGAGGCGGGAGGGGGAGGCGGTCCCTTCCTGGTGTCAGGGCTATAGCTCAGCCGGGCTTCTGAGTGCTGAGGGGCTGCCTGCCCTAGTGGCATCAGCCTCGTGAGGGGCTCGTGTTTGGTGAGAACCTACTGTGTGCTGTGCCCCACGTGCCTGCCTCGGGGAGCTCAGCTGGAAGATTCTCGCGGACACCGTGGGGTTAACGGTGGCTGCCGGTAAGTCCTGGGAGAAGCCCTTACGTGCAGTGAATTCTCCCTGACCCCGGCAAGTCAACGTCAGGCGGTGTCGTAGTCATCCCATTGTCCAGAGGAGGAAACTGAGGCTTGGAGAGGGAACTGACAGCCAGAGACAACACAGCTAGTGTAGGGGCTGGATTCCAACCCAGACAGAGTGGTGCTGGGGCCCCATCTCCCAGCACCCGACCAGTCCCCTAGGCGGCCCCCTGATCCTAGCAGGGGGGCTTTCACGCTCCTGTTCACAAAGATGAACATGAACCAAGTCCTTCGGCTGCTCCAAAGCGAAGCTGGCCGACTGGAGAAGTGCACCCTGCCTCCTGCCAGCAGGGCTGGCCCCGCGCGAGCCCTGGTCTCAGCGAGGTGCCTGCTCTCGCTGTGTCTCTCCCTCTGTCTCCCTCTCTGCATCTCTGTGTCTCTGTCCCTGTCTCTGTCTCTCTCGTGCGTGTGTGCACCTATGCCCTCGTGCCCTCCTGCTCTGGCGGGGCTGTGGACACCGGCCTGCACCTTTGGGCCCCTTTTGCCCCTTTGCTGGGGGTCGTGGTTCAGGAGGAGACCATGAAGGGCCCTGGGATGGCAGAGAAAAAGCCAGGCCAAAGCCATGGGTCTGGGGGCCACTGTGCACAGAACTCCTTCCCCGCTGCTTTCTCATGCAGTAGGTCATCTTGTCCCCTGGGAGAGAGGAGCTCCCCACCCATTTACAAATGAGGAAGCTGAGGTTCAGACCAGGAAACAGACCTGCCTGAGGTCACATGGTCAGTGGACACCGTCACCTGGCTGTTAAATGATGGCCATGCAGACCCTGAGCCTCGCAGGTGTGTGTGTGTGTGTGTGTGTGTGTGTGTGTGTGTGTGTGTGTGGAGGGGGTGATCGGGGTCCTATCTTGGATGCCAAGACCCCAGGACCCAAGAGTGGCTCTCCCCTCCGTGTTCCCTCTCCACGGGGGCCAGTTTTCCTGGTGACTCAGGACACGCTGGCCTCCTAATGACCATCCCCCTGCCCTCGGGCCCCAGGCACAGCCCCAGAGCCACGGTGCACCCGTGCCTGGAGGCCGGAAGTGCTGTCCTTTATCGTCCACTCTTTCGCTTACACCCTCCCTGCTCCAAGCGGGCCCTGCGCTTCGCTGTTCACAAATGCTTCTCGGAGCCCCCAGCCCCCGGGAGACCACTGGTCTTCCATCCTTGAGGGCAACGAGGCACAGAGAGGCTGTGATGGCCCAGGTGATCCTGTGTGCTCCAGGATTCAGACCAGCTGTCCTGGCTCCGGGCCAGGACTCCTCGGGCTCCGGCACATTCTTCCTCAGGAAGCAGCAGTGGCCTTGTCTTCGCACATGGTCAAAGCAGATGGTGCCGGCTGTCCAGGGGTGGCCGGGGTGAGCCACTGGGGACTTCTCCTCATCCCTTCCCTGGCTGGGCCTCCCTCCCACTTCCATCTCTGCACATCTGGCTCCTCTGAAGCCCAGCTCAAAGGCTCCCCCCACCACTCTGCTGCTTCCCTCCCTGGGTCCTGTGGCCTCAGGGCCCCAGCTTGTCTTCTTGACCAGCCCCTGGGGGTTGGGGACCCCCCGCCCCCCCCGCAAGGGGGGGGGGGGTCGCCCCCCCCCCCCCCCCCCCGCAATCAGGGCTTTCTCATCAATCTGGACGGGGGCTGATCAGTGGCTGGAATTCACTTCCTGCCTCTGCCTCTCACCTTTAGCCTCTGGTACGTTGTGCCTCCAGGCCAGTGGGTCCCAAACCAAGTCTATTGGCATCCCCTGCAGGGCTTTCTAAGACTCAGGCTGCGCCCCCCACCCCCAGAGTTTCTGATTCAGAACGTCTGCTGTGGGGCTTGAGAAACTGCATCTGTGACAAGCCCCCTGGGGACGCAGACGCAGCAGGTCAGGGACCACACTTTGAGACTGGTGCTCTCAACCTTAGTCTTCTCCTCTGTACAATGGGAATATATGAGATCAAATGAGACGGTGCATCCCCCTGGGGCTTCCTTAGTGACCACGGCATCCATAAGAGGGTCTTCTGTTTCCCAGGGTCGAGGCTGAGAGCTCCCCTGACTCCTGAAAGGCTGAGACCCTTTTCCCGCAGTGATCCTACCCGTCCCCACGAAAGAGGGTGCTGTACTTTGAGGAAGGGGCCCAGGATTTCACGAAGCCACCCAAGCCAGCCTCGGCGCTCCAGCACATGAGGCCCACCCGCCTACCGGCCAGCGCAGCCCAGCTGCGATCCCCTCGGCAGCCCCTGGCGCTGGGAGCTGTGTGGGCTGGAGTCTAATAACCTCTCAGCAGAGACAGAGCTCTCAATTAACTGAGGCGCTTCTGCAGAACTAGAGCCTTGGTGGTTGGAGAAATGCATTCAGCCTTGGAAGCCCCTTTTGAGCGATACAAATTAGATACAGCGGTCCCTTTCATGAAGACACTAATTAAGCTAGAGACAGCGGGCTCCAAGATGTTCTCCATTGTTATGTTTGTTCAGGCTTTCACTCGCCTTTATCATCAGCAGCACAACTAGTAAATACTGTCCTGGGTGTTCAGCGTCATCAGTGGCTGAAGAGGGGCCTCTGGCCTTGAGCCAGGAGAATGAGGGTCCAAGGCCAGGGCAGCTTTGTCGCCATGAGCTGGGGCCACCAAGGCGGGCCCTTGGGGACCTCCAGGTATAGGGCATCAGTTTAGTAGAAACCGAGATACGAGGGGACACCGCTTTCTCTACAAGTGGGACCTGGTTTTTGCACCCATGCCACTCACCACCCAGGCCAGCCTGGACTTGTCGGTGAGTCCACCATCAGTCCACACAGTGATGGAGGAGTGCAGAGGCTCCTGGACCTTGGATCCAGGCAGGCCTGGGTTGGATTCCTGCTCCACCACCTCTAACCGGCTCAGGTAGGTCACTGTACACCTCTGAGCCTCGGGTTCCTCCCTCTGTAAAGTGGGATCCCAGACCTGCCTGCTGGGATGGCCAAGTGGATTAAATCTGCTGGAGCCTGCAAAGCACATAGTAAGTGCTCAGTTAGTGTTGTTTCCTAATTGAGTGCCAGCTGTGTGCAGAACCCTTGGAGGGGATCCACGTGAGGCCTAAGATCAGCCTTGCCTGCAAGAAGCTTCCAGTCTGAGCAGCACAGTATAAGCAGGATGGTAGCCGAGGGGGGCCTGGGAGGTGACAGGAGCCAGAGCAGTCTTCCTGGCAGAGGGGAGGCTCACACTGGACCACAAAGCCTTCCTGGAAAAGGAAGAGGTGGGCACAACCCTAGAATAGGCCAACCAGGCTCTGCCCGTGGTCCTCATGGACTGGTGGGGGTCTCGGGCCAGCTGGGCCTGAGGAGGGACCCCACCAAGCCTGGTGACTGTCTTTTCCAGTCTTGTCCGCGCATTTCCGTGTCTGTGAGCCATACACGGACCACAAAGGCCGCTATCACTTTGGCTTCCACTGCCCCCGGCTCTCGGACAACAAAACCTTCATCCTCTGCTGTCACCATAACAACACGGTTTTCAAATACTGCTGCAATGAGACAGAGTTCCAGGCGGTGATGCAGGCAAACCTCACGACCGGCTCCGAGGGCTACATGCACAAGTAAGTACTGCACTGGGGCCACAGCCCCACTGCCTTGGGCCCCAGTCAAGTCCGGGTGCCACCAAAACACCCCAGCCTCCAGGCCAGCTGTTGGGCAACCAGTGCAAGGATGGGTGGACCTGGAAGGAGTGTGGGAAAGTCTTCAGGTGACAGGTTTTCTGACCTGTTCTGCCCTCTGGACTTTAGCCTTCTTATCTGAGAAATGGGCATGTGATACCTGCCTCTCAGGGCTGCTGCGGTAGTTAAATGAGGTCAAGGATGTGGAAGACTTTCAGGCATGAAAGGTGCTTGGACCTGGAATCCACGGGGCCTGAGTTCCTTTTTCATTCATTATTTGTTCAACACATATTTGTTGACATTCCTGACCCAGAGATTAATCCCATGCAGCCCCTTTCCCTAAGGTGATTAAAACACATGAGACCAGGGCCCTGATGGAGGGGATATGAGTGTAAAGAAGGAGGAGGAGTTTGCTGGTAGAAAAGCAGTGAGAATATGCTAAGTAAAGGCACATAGGATCGAAATAGCATCCACTGATTTCTCTTACTATGAGTGAAACTGAGCATATTTCACATGCTTGAGAGTCACTTGTATTTCTTTTACTGTGAGCTAACTGTTTATGTCCTCTGCCATTTCCTATTGAATTTTTGGCCTTTTTCTTATTTATTCACAGGAACTCTTTACATATGAAGGAAATAGGATGCATTGCAAATATTTTCTCAGTGTGTCTTTGAATTTGTGATGCTTTTTTCCTCATGCTTAATTTTTAATTGTTATGTAATCAAGTTGTACCCATTTTTTTTCTTTTATGTCTGGTGGGGTTTGTATCATACAGAGGAAGTCTTTCACTACTCTGAAATTGTTAAAAATCCCCTCGTGTTGTCTTTTACGTCTTTTATGTTTTAATTTTTTGCCTTCAAATCTTTGATCTGTGAGGAATTTATTTGGATGTAAGATTTTTTTTAAATTTGGATGTAAGTAATTTTTTTGGATGTAAAGTAGGAATCCACATTTATTTTTTTTCCCACATGGGTAGACAGTTATCCTAACAGCAATCATTGAATTGTCCATCTTTTCCTCACTGATGCGAAATGCAAACTTATTGTATACTATAGTATACTAAATTTGAGTATCTGGGTAGATTGTGATGGCTTTCATTGGTCTATTTATACATTTGCTAGTACCTCATTGTGTTAACTACTGTTGCTTTTGATGTGTTTTAATGTCTTCTTAGTCTATTCCCCCAGGTCTTTTGTCATACAAACTTTAGAATTGGCTTTTGTAGTCTCCCTGCCAAAAAAAAAAAAAAAAAATCTAGTTAGTACTTTTTACTGAGATTGTGTTAAATTCATAGATTAATTCAAGGACAATGGACTTTTCATGACGTTGAATATTCCTATCCAAGAATACAATGTGTCTTTCCATTTGTTCACATTTTCTTTTATAATGTTTTGGAGTTTTCTTCATATAGATATTGCACGTATCTTTTGTGTTTGTTCATATTTATTTCTTTTCAAGCTGCTATTTTATAATGGGGTTTTTCTTCTACTATATCTTCTAACCCAGGGGTCCCCAACCCCCAGGCCACGGATCAGTACCGGTCCACAGCCTGTTAGGAACAGGGCCGCACAGCAGGAGGTGAGCAGCGGGTGAGCGAGCAAAGCTTCATCTGCCGCTCCCCATTGCTTCCCATCGCTCACATTACCGCCTGAACTATCCCCCCACCCAGTCCCTGGAAAAATTGTCTTCCACAAAACCGGTCCCTGGTGCCAAAAAGGTCGGACACCACTGTTCTAACCAACTGTTGTTTAAATGATAAAACCTAATGATTTCTAAATACGTATTTTTTTTACTCAGCCACCTTACTGAAATTTCTTATCTTTGTAATACTTTTTTCAGCTGATTCTCTTAGGTGTCCAGCCATTTGCAAACAATGATAATCTCATCTCTTTCTTTCCAATTTTTGTGCCTCACTTCTTTTTCTTGTCCAATTGTGTTGGCTAGTACCTCTAAAACCATCTTTAAAATTGTCAGGCAATCTTGTCTTCTTCCTGACTTTAATGGGGATGCTTCAGATATTTTCCCAGTAAGCCTGAAGTTGACTCTTGGGGTAGATGTATTTTTTTCATGGTAAGGAAAAATCCACTTGGAAGGAGTGTTTGTTGAGTGACTGTTGAAGAGATTAGTGGCGCCGCTGGGAGTGGTGGGGTGGGGTCTGAGCCTCCATCTCTCTGTCTGATATTGGGGCTTGGATGTTTTGCCACTATGCCATGCTCACTTGGGGGAAGTTGCCTCTTGCCTTTGATCAGGCAGGAGATGCAAATCCCTTGACTATCTTCTGAATCTCTCCTCCTCCCACCAAGGCCAGCTCCCCAGCCTTCCTTCCTCAAATGCACGGGTGCTTCCCCTGAATATCTTGCCATCTGCTCAGACCTCAGAATAATTCTGTGTGAAGTAGTTCAGCAAGTCTTTTCTGTCACGAGGACTGGAATCAAGCCTGGAACTTGACCCAAGCCTTTTATAAGACCAAAGACTAATTCCCTGAGGGAGGAGGGTGGTGCCAGGACTGGGGTTAGGACCCTGAAGTGTTGTCATTGCCAGCTGAAAGCCAGACAGAAGACAGAGGCTTGGCAAGACGGCCAGACTTCTCCAAGGCTCTGGCGATGGTGTCTGGGATCCTCATTTCGAAGCCCACAGGTTTCTGTGATCTGCACATTTACACGGGATTCACACGGAATTCTCCAGCGTTTAGGCACAGTGGGTCCTGGCTGCAGATAATGAAGAGTTGGACCACAGAACAGAGCCCTTCCCTGGGGAGGCATGGGCGCATTGAGGAAGTTTAGCTTGGCTCTTCTCCTGGCACCTCGGCAAGCATTTATGGAGCTAGCGGCATGGGGCCAGCTCTGTGCTCAACCCTCTGAAGCCACTTAGCAGCCCACCCTTGGCCCCCTTTACACACAGGAAGGTGAGGCGTGGAGAGGTTGATAACTTGCCTGACTGAGGCAGCCAGTCGGGGTGGAGCCTAGAGCCAGCCTGGGTCCAGAGCTGCTTTAATAAATCCGGGACGTCCACTGATGGAGGGCCTAGAGCTGGGACCCCCCCTGCGGCCCGGTGGACACCTGGAGCCTGATCCTCCTTTCTGGGGGCTGCTCTGTGCACTGTGAGACCCTGGCCGCCATCCGCTAGACGCTGATCGTGCCCCCTCCCCACTGACTGGCTGTGACAACCAACCGTGTCTCCTGACGCTGCCAAACGTGGGGCGCGGGACTCTCCCGATTGAGAGCACTGCTCTGGAGGGATCCCTCCTGATTATTCTCCACCGAGCTTCCTGCCATCGCCCTTCCCGCAGACGTGGACGGAGGCCCAGAAGAGCTGGGCTGAGCTCCCCTCCCAGGCTGTTCTGCTCTCCTGGGCTTCACGAGGGAGGCGTGGTTCTTGGTGTCCTGTATCCGAAAGTGTTGAAGAGGGTGGGAGCCGCACAGTCCAGAGGAATGAACGTTTCCAGACACAGTTCCCTGCAGCCTGAGTGTGAAATGCCAGGGGAACCATGGGGCAAGGCGGCGGGGGCTGGCGGGATGGGGTGGGGCCTCGTGGACCGGGGGGCAGAGGGGGAGGGGCTTGGGCTTCCTCTTGAGGGGGGTGAGGGGTCCCGAGAGCTTTAAGCTGGGCTTGTGCTCACGGATGGTGCCTGGTACAAGGACCTAGGACACTGCAGAAGTCATGAGGATGACTTGGCCAAGACCGGGGCCCTGTGGAGAAGAGAGGCTGGGGTCACCCAGGAGACAGCCAATCCATAGCTCAGATAAGAAGCCCTGGAGGCCCCCGTTTAGCTGCCTGAGCTGGGGCATCCTGGGGAGAAGGCCTGAGCCCAGGGAGTGGGGCCAGGGCCTTGCGTCCGGCCAGAGCTTGCGGCAGAGAGGGGACAACTGGAGGATGGGCCACTGGGTGTGGGAGGATAGGTTAGTGAATGGGTTGGGACAGGCCTGCCTGGCCAAGAGGTCCTGAGTGCTCCGGGTGTGTGAGGAGAGCCAGGTAAAGTCCACCTCTGGGACCGTCCTGCCCTTTGGAGCTCTGACCCTTCTGGGCAGGATGCCTTTGTTGTCTCATTAGTCCTCACAGCTACTCTGAGAGGAAGGAAGAAGGGGCTGGGCCCAGGCACGTGAAGTCACCTGTTCCACCCAGTCAAGGCCAAGGGACACCAGGGCCCTAGTTCCAGCCAGTGGGCTCTGCCACTCCCAGGTGCATCTAGAAAGCCAGGACTTGTCTGATGCTGGGGGGTGTGCCAGACCTCAGCCGAGAGGCCAGGTGTTCCAATATCCCAGGAGGTTAGCGCCCACTGGCAGCCCCTCTAGAGGGACCAGCGCAGCTGTGATCCCCGTTGGGGCTTTGTGAAGATGCATGGGGCCTGTCAACAGCAAGGCTGCCTGACATTCGCCTGCCCCGCCAGTGAATCAGCTGGGAGGCGGGGCTGGTGGCAGGGAAGAGGAGCGCGCTCCTGATGACTTCTTTATTTGTGTCTCTCCGGAGGAACAGAATGGTCTGTTTTGGCTCTAGCTGCCTGGCAGAAAGGCGGACAGAGCTAGGGAAGCAACCTCGCCAAGCCTGCCGCCACAGTGAGATGCCACTTCTAGCCACTTGGGCAGAGTCCCTGGTGTTCAGGAGTGTACTGCACACCCTCCCATGCCAGCTTCCGGCTGGGACGCCAGCAGCAGTGACCACCCAGGGCCCTGAGCAAGCAGCGGCAGCCTCTATCCAGGGCACAGGGTGGCACGGGGTATATGGGGTCAGCGGTCAGCTCTCTCTGGGGGCAGAGGTGGTATGGACTAGAGGCTGGTGCAGTGCGTGGGTGTTCTCCACCAGGCAGATGGGCTGCCAGGGGTGGGAACCTGGGGCAGGAATGCTCAGAAGACAGAAGGGTCTTCAAGGCCTCAAAGCGGGAAGTGATGGGCTGTCCTTCTTCCCTCGGCTGCACTGAAACCTCTTTCCTCCAGTAGCTTTCCTTT